CCATCCCATCTCCATAACTCTGTTCACTCTCCTTATAGAACCACGAGGTCAAATAACCAGATGCTCCTCGCTGTTCTGAGATCCAGAAAAAAGAGCAGAGGTGACCGTGCCTTTGCAGTTGCTGCCTCTAACCTCTGGAACATGTTTGATCAGCTCAGAACCTCTGTCATTTCCAAATTCCTTGTACCTCCCCCATGTCTTCAAGTATTTTACTATATGCATTGTATGTATAAGTCTTTAACTACTTCTTGTCTTGATGACGTGCTGTTTGGTACATCCCTGGTTGCTATAAATAAAATAGATGTTGACACTCGTTAACACACCTAGAATTTCCTTGAATCTAATCAAGATGTCAGAACCACTGAGCAATGCCCAGGAGGGAAAAAGAGTACTGCCGTGCCCTCCAGTCCTTATCTAATTAGATACTTTAGGATTTAATTCAGCTAAAATATCGAATAGTTAAAGAGCTTTTGGAGGCACGCCCACTAGAGCCGTTGCTCAGTTGTAATGGAAACCACCAAGAAGGTGCAGAGCCACGCTGAGAGGTGGAAAAGGGCCAAAAACGTATCTCTTTGTAAGATCTCTACTTTGTTAACATGATTTGTGCTTTTAATGAAAAAATAATACAAAACATGCTGTTAATATCAACATAAATAAAAGGTTTGGAAAAAATTTTTAAAATGTTGGTCATTGAATCTTTTGTTGGATAGCTGAGTTTATATTTAAAAAAAAACACAAAATATGTTTCTTCCTTTTGGTTTTTGAATCTTATGTGACGATGATCATCTTTTAATTCTGGTAAAATGAAGAAACCCAGAGATGATCTCCTTCTGTATTGTTTTGGTTAGCATTACCTCCCATCCTCCTAAAAACAACTTTAGATTTCTTTGAGATTCTTCAGAATAAAACACTTTTTCCATTACTTCACATATTCTACAGCTGCCTGGTCCAACGTGGAAAGCCAACTCATTAATGAGGCAACATATAAACACTGTGTTTCATCTGAACTTGGATGCAATCCCCTTTCCACTATAGAGCACCCATGGACAGCTGCCTCTCCATTTCTGCAGTAACGATCAGCTCTGCTTTCTGCAGCCTCGCCAGCCAGACACATTTAGTTTTATTGCAGTTCTGAGGCCAGCCAAAGCCTCGTGTACTGGCTGATCTCCCTCTCTACCTGCCTCCAGCTTGGCTGACTTCCATTTTCTGGCATTGCTTCAACATTATAGCCAGCTTACAGGATGTACAGAAAATCGTTATCCCATGTACCAGCATTAGATGATGATTTCACATAATGGTGGCGTATTATGTGTAATCTGTAGCTTATTATCTCAAAGCATTCACTAGTCAAATGTCTCTGACCCAGGCACGGCCAGGAGAAGGCTTTTGGAGTGAATAGAAAGAACATATTCAATTCAAAAATACTTTATTAATCCCAGAGGGAAATTGATTAAATTGATTAATTGATTAATATCTGCCAGCAGAAGCTAACTGTTAGCATTAGCAACTCCACCACATGGCAGAACTCCTCGAGGCTTGTGGAGATATTTGTAGAGAGAAAACATGCAGAGCAAATGGAGTGAGGGGTAGAGGGGTGTTGCTGTTAGCCAATCAGAGGTGAGATGTCCGAATATCAGGAAATAAGACTCCAAATCCTGTCGTCAGAAGCTACCTTCTCCACCGGCAAAATCATCTGTGCTGAAACAGGTGAACTGGAGCTTTTTTTTCACCAGAGTAGAACTAAGACATTCGTTTCCACTTGAGACCACTGCAATTGTATTAAAAATTTAACAAAGAACCTTTTCAATATTATCTTTTTCCCTCTACATTCATTAAATGTACCATTATAGAATCAACTGACTACCAATCCATTGATTACTTTATAACATTGCATAATTACACAACAGTGACCAAGGTTATTATTTACACATGAAGCAGGTGCATTACTGGACCTCCATGGCTCTAAAATGATCCAGATAATGGTGGTTAAGAGCAAAAATTGGAGGTTTAAAACTGCAGTTATTGCCATTTTTACACTCATTTGCTTTTGGTTACAGAAGACAAAGATTCTACATGATAACGAGAAATTAAGTTCAAGCTCAGAGTTTTAAATTACTTGAAGATTGACTGTAAAATAAATGACAAAAT